CTGCGGGCGCCAACTCACGCGCGGGACGCTAATTTTAGCGCGGCAGCTGGCGCGCAGGGCGCCGCCCGTGAAGAGGGGGAGGGACCTCAAGGGAGGGGCGGGGCCTGCTGAGTGGGGAGCGGGTCGGTGGACTCCCGGGAGGATTTCGGGGTTGGGGGGGCGTGGGACCCAGAGTGGAGGCAAGCGCGCAGGAGACGCGGGGGTGGGTGTCGGGCTTGTGGAGCGAGCACACAGAAAGACAGGACGGAGCGCGCAGTGGGCACATCGGAAGCTTTCCTTTTTCCCATTGACCTCCAGACTCTACGTGCTCAGCTGTGATCCCCTGTAAATTAGGGAGTGAAGACCTCCACGTAACGAGTTCAGTTCCCTGTGTTCCTCGTGGGCGTGACCCCGTTCTTTTTGTAACAGCGACTAGGGCTGGATGAACTGGAGGCTTCCTGGTAAAAAACGAGCCTTCGAAACTACCACGCAAAGTTAAAAAGGGAAAAGGAAAAGCCCCAGCCTGACCCCGCCCCGTGCATCCTGGGCTCCGCGATTGTGCGCAGACGCGGCAGAAAGAAGCAGCCGCTTTGATGCTCCGCCAAAAGCATGGCCGTTGTATGCTGCACAATGCATGCATTGTGCGCATGCACGTCTGACTGTGTTCCTGGGTCAGAAAGCTGCTTGTGGCTCGGGATATAAATTCTAGGACACTCCGTTCTCCAGTGTGGGAGTTAGCCTCAACTCTACTTTTCACAGTCCTGGTAGATAGCCACTGTGGACCAATTTGTCCACTCTGTCCTTGGCCCAAAGAAGGGGCCTTTCCACGGGTGGCTTTGACCCTAACCTCACAAGTGGATCTAAATTGGGCTATAGCTTGAGGTGCCTGGTTGGGGGTGTTAATGGAATGGTGGCAGACACCCATATGGTGCTTATTAGGAGAACAGTGTCTCTAACGACTGTGACCCGCCTGTGAAATTCTGATTTCAGTTGTATATGGGGTACAATAAGTCTTTATCTTTTATCGCCCAAAAGGCTAATTGAATTGCTGCTGGCAGCACAAATAACAAGATGGGTAAACAGGTTCCAGCCTGGGTGGAGCGTCCCCCTCCAGCAGCCTTTTCTCGGTAGCAACCCAATCCAAGGTGGCTGTAAAGTGCTAACTCAGGTGGATCCCAGCAGTCTTTACTATGGTTGTTTTGTTTTGTTTTTGCAGATCTCTTGACAGCATACTTGAAAAATCATAGCGTAAAAGAACATAGTTTGTGACTCACTTGAAAAAAAACAACAAAACCCCCCATACATTAATATCAATCCAGTCCCTTAGCTGTGCTGTAGTGCTGCTTCTGTTTTGTTTTTCCTGAAGACACAGACACATATATACAGTTCAGAAGACACTGAGCTGCTGCAGGAAAGATGTTTTCTAAGTGGCAGAGAAATCTGCAGTGACCCAAATATTTGCTAAGGTTGTCACTTACATGCACACCCAACAAAATTTGACTCATCCGTGACCTACGCCTGTCCCCTGGTGAGAGTATGAACAGTTAGCTGGTACTGATGACTTCCTTAGCTTTGCTAATTGCTAAGTAAGAGTGGTTAAGGGGTGAGATCTCCAGATTATGTAACAAGTTATTTTGCCCAAAATGTACACTATATTTAGAAATATTCAAATGTGGTGGCATTACCCTACACAGCGTGTTTTAGCTCATCATGGAGGATATGCTATGTGTATTTTACCATCAGAGCTCTGGAGCCCCATGCAAAGGCCAACCGGTACCTGGTGCTCTGAATTCTCAGTGGGAATTCTGTCATCTTGGTCTCGGTATCTAATCCAATGGAGGAGCAAAAATGTCCACTACCTAGAAGCATTTCTAGTGATCATGGGATAGAGACTACTCCCACTGGAGGCACGTTGGTTGATTTTGAGCTGATAAGTTTATAAAGGGCCAGCCTATGTTTTTCCCAGACATATTGAAGGTGGTATCAGAGAAGAAACTTAGACCATGTCAATAGTCTTTTTTTTTTTTTTTTTCATTTAAAATAAAAGAATACTTTTTAACCAGGTGTGGTGTCATATGCTTCTAATCCCAGAATTCAGGAAGGGGAGGTAGGCAGATCGCTTTCAAGTTGAGGCCAGCCTGATCTACATTTCAAATTTCAGGGCTTCACAATGAGACTGTGGTACCATGTCTGAATTCAGCATCATCTGTCTCTACGGCACTTTTGCCCTAATACTCTTGTTGTTGCATGGATCACTTTATATTGTTCAGTTCCATCAAGAGGCACACAATGTTGTGATTTAAACACACACACACACACACACACACACACACACATAAAACAATCCTACAATTTTATAATCTTTTTTTTTTTTTTAAAGCTGTAATAACTCAAAGGGAAGTGGTCTTAAATCAGGCTGACACGGGACAGGTCATATTGATGGTTTAAAAAGTTCATTAATGAATTGTTTTAGTGCTGTTCTTGAACCCAGGGCCTCATGCATGTTAGGCAAGCACTCTACTACACTGACTACCTACTCCTTCAGCCCTTTACATTCTTAATAATGGTCAGCAGGGGGTTACATGATATCCCCTACCCCAAGCATGAATTTACCTGGGGGTTCAGAGACATCCAGGGCTGATCCATAAACCCAGCCATTTACAACTTCCAGTTTCTTAAATTATAAACTACATATTTTATTTTTGTGTCTCAAAGGAAGGGGTTCAGCTATGTTGAAGATGCAGGCTGCCCCAGAAACAGGAAGGAGGGGCCTACATGGTTGACAATCTACAAACCTTACATTTCTGTTTGTACTTTCTACTTAATTCTGCTACTGTGGGCCTAAGCAATAGTACTTACGGCATTAACCACAGCCCTGGATCTAGAACCCTAGATGATGAAATGAGTATGAATTCCATTCACAGAACGTCTGACCTTGGTCTATGACCAAGGAAGGGCATGTCTTCTAGTTTCCTATGAACAGAAGCCAAGCAGATGAGGGTGACTTGGGACTAATGGCAGCTACCCAAACTCAAGATATTTTGCTCAAGGATTCCATGCATACTCAGTACTCAGGAAAATGGGCACTTCACTCTTCACTGGTCAAATAAAATCTGTAAGTCATATGCAAAAAGACTGAGTAATGGATGACTTGTCTTGGAACTAGGACTCCCAAATCCTTTTAAATCTTTCCTCCTCATATCAAGAGTCCAGTTAATGACAACACTGGATGTAATCACTGAAGGTGTTCCCTGAAGATTAAGTGACTTCTATAAGAGTCACTATCACTAAAAAATCTAGCATTTCAAAGAAAACCAAAGCTAACTTTAACCTATTTGTTATTTATTAAATGAAAAAGTCACACATTATTTTTTGAAAAATGAATTCAGTGAACTAATGGCAAAAATTAAAAATATATAGGAACCCCCCCCAACTCCAAAGATGCTGTTGATGTCATCTTAAAATAGATAACTCTGTATATTCTAGCCTTGAACTTCCTAAATTTCAGTTTCCTATTTCAGGAGTCTTCCCACCCATAGATCAAGAGATCAAAACACGTGTACTCTACGGGAATTCCGTACTACATGGAGATGGGCACCAGTTAAACACATCTGGGGCTTCACAGCAAAACAAGCTTCCCACGTGGCTCTACTCCAGCTTCATTCCACAGCATTCCCCAGTGTAGATGCCATATATACAGCAGCAGTATACTTTCTATGGCCCAAGATGGCGCTTATCACAAAACTTTTCAAAGAGTAGATCTGGGTTGGGACAGACAGTTCAGTGTCCTTACCATCAGCTCCTTTCAACCCCCTCTTGCAGAGTGGCAGGCTCTCCTGCCAGTTGAAAAACAAACAAGTGTTTCCCACATGACCTCTGCTCAGCTCTTATCTGTGTCCCTCCCACTGCCCTTTTCCCTGGCTTCTTTCTCCTAGAGCTGCCTCTATAGTCCTGCAAACCCCAACCCCATATACATCCTTCTGTCTGGAGTAATGTTAACAGCCACACTAAGCTTGGTTTAAAAAATTAAAAAAAGGCCTTGGAAAACGTTCAGTGCTCCCAATTTTATTTTTATTTAATGCTAAAAGAAAAAAAAAAGTACTGTAAATCTGACAAATGACAGAACACGGGTGGTATTTCCATAGCATGGTTTTAAAATATAATGTTGATAGATAGCTAAGATTACACTTATTTCAGTAGACATGAGTTTCATCATATATAGAAAAATTATCACCTTCAACTTAAAAAAAAGCAAAGGTTAAAAGGTGGCACACTTTCAAAATACTTGGTGGCCAGGAAAAGATATATAGAAAAGCTGTAAACCATGTGTACGTTCTTGTAATTTCAGAGTGAGGCCACATGAAAGACACTATAGTTATCTGTTATTTAAAATAAAAAAAAAAAAAAAAAAAAAAAAAAAAAAAAAAAGGACTGCTGACACCCCATCCCCTAATATTCTGAGTATCAGAATCACGGCTGGAATAGTGTTGGGAATCTGACATAATCTATCCAGCTGTGGACAACATCCACAAATGTCATTAAGGACAAGAAAAGATCAAACCAGGTCCTCACGTGAATGGTTTCAGCGTAGGCCAGAGAAAGACTCCCCCCAACCCCACCCCACCCCCTCCAGGACAACACTCTGGCTACAAGTCTGAAGGCCACCCAAGGCTGGGCAGATGCACACAGGCCCTTTATCTCAAAGTGCACCCCTTTACAACAGGTCAAGTTTTGCCTCTTTTGCCACTAGCACAGAGAAACCACAGGTGGCCTTTTCCGCAGCTGGAAAGACTTCTCTCATTCGGCAGGATGGTTCTTTATTCATGTTTTTGGAGAGCTTATCTGTGTTGAGATTGCAAAAGATACAGCCACGGCAAATTAGGTCAAATGAGTAATCTAGTTGTAACATCTATGAGGTCAAATTCCAGTTTATAATAAAGTGCTTAGAAACACATTTATACAGACCATAATAGTTGGGTCCTTCACAAATGTCTTTAATGGGCAGGTGAAACTGACTCTGCTTTTTTTTTTTTTTTGTGTGTGTGTGTGTGTGTGTGTGTGTGTGTGTGTGTACATCCGCCTCAGAGACCAGTAGGATCTGAGTCACAGTAACAATCAACTGGTCTACCACGCAAGCCTGTCTGTAACATCACAATGACTGGTAACAAGAACCTGGAGGACAAGGTGCACTTACGAAAAACACAACAAGAAATACTGTATTTGGTGCAGTGTCACTGGTTTTCAAGCAACTTGACTACTAAAGAAACCACCTTAAAAAGACTGATTAAAAAAAAAAAAAAAAAAAGACCAGTTAACTAGAAATGATCCCAGGCTGGTGATAACCTATATCTTCAAATTAAAATAGAATCCAGGCTGTGAAAAAAACATTAACCATAGTAGACTTAGAAGCCATGATTGAGCCTACAAGGCCAAGTTACAAACACCTGCACATCAGGGTTTAGGGTAGTGTGTTCCTGTTGACATTAAACCAAAACAGCACAAAGGGGTAAAAAAAACCCCACAAAACCCAGCATCACTAAGGGGCGACCACTACTAATAACTAATGACCTGTTGTTTACATTAAAAAACAATCACTTCACCAATGCAAAACAGTGATCAAAAGAAATTAGTTTACAAAAGGCTTCTAAAAATAGTTGGAGAGGTGGGGCTTGATTATGTAAAAACCCTTCATGTCTGTAGTTTTCACTATTTTGTCATTTTCCAGAACAGCATTATTCACACTTAATATTTCAGACACATCTAAGAAGGAAACTGCAGGCTTCCTCTACCCACAGTGGGCCCCACCACTGATATGCCCACAGGCCCTCCTCGAAGCACCCAGGGCTGTTAACTGTCAATGTATATACTACAGTAAGCACTCATTACAACAGGGTGTAGGGATACTGACAACAGCAATGGCCGCAGGAACAGGACAGGTAAATGAAAGAAACAAACCAGAACAGAGCAAAACACAAACAAAACAGAAATGAAACAAATCCCGAGGGTTCACCAGGCCTGCAACAGCAACAGTAAAGAGCCCTGAAGTGTTTGGAAAGGCTGAGTGGCGCTGCAGAGCCAGGCTCTGCTGTAAAACGGCAGCAAAGCCATCTTATTTGCACACCACCCCGTACAATTATTTCTATAGCAGGAAACACCAGTGAGGCAACCAAGGAGCATGCAGCATTGAAATCTTACAACTGGTCACATGGGCAGAGTGTACATGGGTCAACTTGCCTTCAAAAAAACAAAAACAAACCCAAAAAACTCCCAAACACACAATCCAGCAAATCTTTCAGCAGCACCTCTATCAGTATTGCAAGAACTGAACCATTAACAAGACAAGATTCAAACCCCATCTCCCCACCTTCCGATAGGGCCTGCTAGGTGGGTCACATCTCCCAGGGGCATGCCCTTCTGACAAAAGTGCCCCTTTTTACTCACTTCCCTCCTTCTCCACCAACTGACCTCCAGTCTGGGAGAGGGGCCAGCAATGAGGAATGACAGACAGTAAGGCAATCTTACAATGTCAGAAAAATGTATTTGGCTTTTTTTTTCTTTTTTAAAATAAGTGCATACAAATACGGCTAGAAGCATTTGTTTGCCAAGTGCTCTTTAAAAAAAAAAAAAAAAAAAGCAGCCAAGTCGCAGCCTACATAGAACAGCAACTGTCACCAGAGAAGTCAAGCACAGACAGCCTAATAACGTTAACAAAAGAAGAAAATGCCTTTTAAAGTACATACCTTTTGTCGTCAAAAAAATATAGAAACACAATGTATTCAAAAAAATCAAAATTATACAGCCATGTTTATGAAGTCTACATTTCCCTTGTCTTGGATATATATATTTATATATATATATATATATATATGGAGATTTATATACAGTTCAAGAAGTTTGAGTTAAGGGTAACCGTGGGCTTTTCTGAATGCAGAAAGTCACGAGTCTCTCTCCTTTTTCACTTTCACATCTCCAGCGAGGATGGTAGCAATTTCTCCTTGCATGAAGGCCCAGGGGACATTGGAGCCCACCAGAGGGCACTTCTCCCCGCTTGGACAATAGACCTCTCCGCTAGCGCCCTGCTGTTTAATGCTTTGTCTGGAGCAAGGGAAACAGAACTTGTGTGAAGGGACAGACGGGCACTGCACAAAATGGGTATCCTCCAGCCGCTCGTGGCAGAGGGTGCAGCATAGGGGGGCGCTGGCTGCCAGAGAGGAGTCTGGGAGGCTGGCAGGGTGCACAGGCTCCAGTCCTCCTTTGCTTCCTGTGGCCTGGCCCCCCACCTCTCTGGGGCCAAGCCTTCTTTGGTTCATAGAGGAGGGAGAGGGCGGGCTGCTGCTGTTCCTCCTGGTGGTGGAGTGAACCTGGGTGGCATCTTTCGAAGCATGACTGCCCCCGGCATTGTCTGCTACTAAAATCAGGGCTGCCATGGGGGACTGGCCGTTCTGAGCCGCTTCAGGCGGTGTGGTCCGGTTGGAATGAGGAGAGGCAGTAGGGGGTGGTGGAGACACAAAAGAGGATGTAGGGGTGATGGGGATCTTGAGCCCTTCTGTGGAAGTGGACAGCCAAGGCTGAGCCTCGCCATTGATCTTAGGGGGTCCGACTTCCCCTTCCGGTTCTGGAGAAGGCTTCCTTTTCCTTGCTGTTCTTGCAACTAAACAGAGACGGAATGGAAAAAAAGAAAAATTAACGGAAATGTATCCAAAGAGACATTTCCCATCTCCAAAATACACACCTAGTATACAAGTTCTGCATGCAGCTTCTAACACTTCCTCTAGTAAGGGTCTCTAAGCCTGCACACCACTTCCAAGAGAAGCTAAGTCATGCAAGCCTGCCTGAAAGGTTCCAACCCAGAACTGGCACATGTGACTGCTAACGTCCCAGACAGGTTAAAGGGTGAGTGCTGCCCTCATGCTCCCATCCAAGAATGTGCTGGGAAAGGAAAACGTCGTGTTGCTGCCTATCAGCCCGCTCTGACTCATCCCTGTTGTGCTGGTTCAGCAAAGGAACCACGTTGCTCCTAAGCGCTGTTTCAGCCGTAGGCCGACCAGGAAGTTGGCTGTTTGTTGTTTCTGGGCTAAGGCAAAACCGTGCATGTTAGAGTGGCTTCCCCAGCATACACGAGTGCACGCTGTCTGTCTCTAACGTCCACGCCCTCGATCCCTTCTCCCCTCGCCCCACAGCCGCCCCTACCTGCTTTAGACCCGTTGGCCCCGTTGGCCTCGAAACCCAACAACCTGCCTGCAGTCAGGGCCGGCTCCTTCTTGAACTTGCTCTCGAAGGGCCCCGAGTGGCCGTGCTGGTGCAGCGCCAGTAGCGTGTCGCGCACCGTCTTAGGCCTGCTGGACCAGTCCTGCTCCCCGGGCGCTCGACCCTTGCCTGCACCGTCGGCGCCCAGCTCGCTCGCCCCAGACGCGCCGGATAAGCTGTCGGCTGGGCTCCGGTGCGCGGGCTGTGCCTTCTCCTTGTTCGGCTCACGAGCCTCGTGCTCTGCCGCGCCGGACACCGACGCCGGCCGTTTGTGGGTGCCCAGCTCGGCGGGCTGGGAGCCCAGGCCCGGTGTTCCCCCCCCCCCGGCCAGTGTGGCCGCAGCACGGCCGCTTAGCCCCAGTGCGGCGGAGCCGTTCACCAGAGGCACCAGGGTGGGCGGCACGGCGTGTGCGCGCCGAGGGTTCGGGCTCTGGCGATTCAGCTCGGGCGGCTCCTCCAGCTTGGAGAAGCC